CTGTGGTGATTTAAAAAATATAATTCTCAAATTGCATGTAGGAAAGAAAGTAGCAATATAGATGCAGGAAGAGCATGACCGTGTGGATAAAAAGATGATGTGTTCACATGAACATGCAGAACTGAGAACTTAGGTTAAGTTACAGCAAGATAATGGTAGGTACTATGGTTTGAGTGTGTTCCCCAAAGTTCATGTCTTGGAAACTAAATCTTCAATGCAACAGTGGAGGCTTTAAGAGGTGATTGGGTCATGAGGATTCTGCACTCATGAATGGAATAATGTCAATATCATGTGAGTAAGTTATTGCATCTTGATAAAAGGATGCATTCTGACCCCTTTCTTTCTCATGCACAGACGCACTCTCTTTCCCTTCTGTCTTCCACACCATGGGACAACACAGCAAGAAGGCCCTCTCCAGATGCAGGCCTCATGACTTTGGACTTTCCAGCCTGCAAAGTTGTAAGAAATAGATTTCTGTACTTCATATAAAAATTATAACATGCTTGATGCTTTATATGGGCTTCTCTTGCCACCCTTTACAGTGACTTCATAAGTCAATCATTATTGCTTCTATTTTATAAATGAAATAATTATGGTATAAATAATTATTTATTTATATTTGCCCAAGATCACATAGCTCATAGCCAGTGGGCCTTCCATTGAAATCTGTTAGGCTGTAAATTTTGTGCTCTTTTCATTAGACCATGCAAGACTTTGTGTATATTCCCTACTAAGGAATTTCACAGAAAGAAGACATCCTTGTTCATAGTAGTTAGAAATGGCATAATTGAGGCACCTTTTCAAGGGGAAAGGCAAATCATAAAGCTGAACAACCTCAGAAGAGGTTACAATGAACCTTATCAAGGACCTAGATATAATTATCAGTTTACACGAACTACAGGGTACTTTTAAATGACATCACCAGCATATAGCAGCAAATTCAGATCATAGAATACACTATAGGACAAATGACCTGATTTCTTCAACAAATGCATTGCAAGGAAAAAGAAAGAGAAAGCATATATTTAAAATGTGCTAAGAGACATATCAGTCAAGTACAATGCATGGGCTTTTGGCCTGATTTGAACAGAACATAAAAAGAAATGATGAAATGATGGGCTTAAACACTTACAGGAAATTTGATGATGTTAAGAAATTGCTGTGACTTTGTTTTAGGTGTGATAATTGTAGTATAGTTGTGCTTTTTTTTTTTTTTTAAAGAATCATTATATTTAGAAATACCTACTGAAATATTTTGTATGTAATGATGTATCTTGTTTCACTTCAAGGTAATTGAGGGAGGGAGGCATTAGATAAAGGTATATATAAATAATACATGACAATGTATTGATAATTGTTTAATTGTGTGAAGGGTATGGGGGGATTATTACAATATCCTCTCGATTTTTTTACATATTTTTCAGCTGGGTATGTTGCCTAACGCCTGTAATCCTAGCACTTTGTGAGGCCCAGGTGGGCAGATCACCTGAGGTCAGGAGTTCAAGACCAGCCTGGCCAACATGGGGATGGTGCTAAGCCATTAATGAGATATTCACCTTCCACCAGGCCCCACCTCCAACAATGAGGATTATACTTCAACATGAGAGTCAGGCGGAAACACAGATCCAAACTATCCAAACAGAGGCAATAGAGACTATCTGGTCTAATTGTCTTGCTGCTGCCTGAACCCCCTTTGTGGAATGTCAGTTACATAAAAGCATGAACCCATTCATTCTCCCACTCTTTTAAACTTATTTTTCTTTTTGAAGTTTAGTTTTTTTTTTTTTTTTTTTTTTTTGGTGAAGACTTTAGGTTTTTCCAAATAAGATCACATCATCTGCAAACAAAGATAATTTGACTTCTTT